CCAGTGGTTCTCAAGCCATTGTCCAAAACAATTTTCGAAGGCCCCTATTTCTTCCAGCATCCAAGCCGCTTGTTTTAAAAACGTTTTCAATTACCAACAATTAGGAGCTAATGTATTCAATTAACTACAATTAATTTTGCGTTTTAAGAAGTTCTGTCAAGTTACCTTTTTTCATATAGCAATTTTGATCAAAATAACTTAATTCTGCTATAAATTAGTTCTGAAAAAACAAGTGTCATTTTTCAGCTCACATCAGTTCAGCGTTATGCGATTCCTAAAGTTCATCAATTTTGAGTTTTCAGCCATAAGCTGCTCTACAGAAGACAATAGTGTTGTTATTCAGTTTGAGTCAGTTCAATGTTGATTCAAATCAGTTCAATAACAGTGTTGCTGTTACTAAGTCAAATCAGAAGCAGCCCTGTAGAAAACAGTGATGTTATCATCCACCTCAATTCAGTTCAAGTTTTGTTCTCAATCTCATCCTTCATGGTGTTAGTACAGTCAAATCGATAATATTACTGAATATCATGTGTCCCCAACTATGCAAGCCAAAGGCGACTGTGGCAATAAACCCAAACTCCATCAGGTGACACTGACAGAAAAAGAAAAGAAAGAAAAGAAAAAAAAAAAAACTTAGGAGAAACCAGGCTCAGTCAGGTGACCAGTTCTCCTCTGGCCAAAACTGTATGTTATAAGAACTTCCCTAAGAAGTTTGTTGAAGCTCCCTGTTTGAGAACCACTGCTTTAAACTGCAATATCATTCACAATGACTGAAAGTGTAAACCTTGCCATAACAGTCTCGCTTACATACTGATAGGAGAGTACAATGGATGTGATAATGCCAGTCACCAGGACAACCACACAAAGAGCACAGAGCAGACCCGTACAGGAGGTGAAGTCAACCTGTTAAAACACACACAAAAGAGATTTCACTACAACTTGACAGCATGGCTTGTTTGAAAAACCTCAGTAGTCACAAATTGTAAAAGTTCTAGTAATAGAAATGGAGATAAAAAAAAGTAAATTTGAGGAAAAAAAAATATTGCACAGGTAAACTGTATGAACCACAGTGAAAATTGATCACATTGATCACAGGGCACATGAAAAAAATCCTTAAAAAAACTGGTTTTGTCTCAAGCAAGCATGAGACATTTACCAGTGAGCCATGAATGTTTAAAAAGAAACAGACGATCATTGTAATCAAATACAACGGGGTTATTTTACACGGCCAACAAAGTGGCATTCACTGCCGGCCAGTCGATCAGAGCCAGTCTTACCTTGGTCTGAAAACAGAAGACTGTGACGATTACACACACCATTGCTGTGATCCCCAGGGCCAGAAACACTGCTTTTGTGTCAAAATAACTGTAAATAATGCCAGATGGAAAAAAAAAAAAAAAAATTAGAGCTTATCTGGTGTTTAAAACTAACCATGCAGTGTGTGAAACTCTAATCGAACCTTGAAATTGTTCCTGTCATGTAAGACAATGCAAGGGTCTGTGGAGGACAGAAAACATGTTCCATCAATTATAATGTAGATGTTGAAGAAAGCATAGGTAAATGAAATAATCACTTACAAAAATGAACAGGAGTATTAAATTCCATGGATGACGTCTCCTAAAAATGAGGCATGGTTTCCATGATTAAATAGATATTATTACTTATAATGTAAATAATCAAAAAATGACTAAACTCACCTCGGGCCCTCACAGCAAACCAGCATAAGGTAAGTAACAAGATACACAGGGCTGTGAAAAACATTCCACTGTTACTTCAATATAATATTCATTTAAAAGTTTGGGGTCAGTAAGTTTAGGAGAAAAAAAAATTAATACTTTAATTCAGAAAGAATATATTCAATTGATCAAAAAGGAAAGGTAAGTATTATAAAGTTAGAAACGACTAAATAAATAAATAAATGTTTTATTTTTAAACCTTCTATTCTGCAAAAAAATCTTGAATAAGAATATATCAGTTTTCACAAAAATATTAAGCAGCACAAGTGTTTTGAACATTAATAATAATAAGAAATGTGTCTTGAGCGTCAAATCAGCATATTAGTATTAGAATAATTTCTGAAGGATCATGTGACACTGAAGGCTGCAGTAATGATGCTGGAAATTTAGCTCTACTGTCACTGGAATATTAAAATTGAAAACAGATATTTTAAATTGTAATAATATTTGACAATATTACTGTTTTTACTATGTCTCATCAAATAAATGCAGCCGTGGTAAAAAAATAATACTGACCTCAAACTTTTGTGTAAGATATTTGTTTTGTCATTTAATTTTAGACTTGTTAAACAGGACAGTAAAATAACTCACAATGATGCCCAATAAATGGCAGGATTTTGGACCACAAAAAGACGCACAGGTTCACTGTAAGATGAGGAATATATGCAAACACACCCATTTAATTAGTATGCATAATGTTTGAAATTCACACAGCTGTTCATTGAAATTCAGTTGTTGTGTGAATTTGTTTTACTCACACAAACGCAAACACTGCAATGATTGAAGAAGTCATAAACAGCTGGGCGGCTAAAATAAGGTAAACCTGGTAAAAAAAATAAATAAAAAAAATACACACAAATCAGTTTTTCTACATGAAGCCATTGCTTACGGCATTTATAGATTCTTATAAATCTGTAGTTCAAGTTTTGGACAAACAGTTTCAATACCTTTCTAATGAAAGCATGGCGAACACTCATGCTGTCCCATATGCCAGTCGATGAGATTCCCTCTGCATCTCCTACAACAAAACAATGAATACACACACACACACACGCATATCTAATGTCATATCTAACATCATACACAGTGGTCCAAATTTCTTCCACTATTGAGACACACAGGTCACATTTTAAAATGTTCTGTACCACATATATGCCGTAGAGATTTTAATAAATATAGCCTATAAGCCGTTCAGTTTCATTCATAAAGCAGACTGATGCATTTTGAGAGAGAGAGAGAGAGAGAGAGAGAGAGAGAGAGAGAGAGAGAGAGAGAGAGAGAGAGAGAGAGAGAGAGAGAGAGAGAGAGAGAGAGAGAAATGAAGAGAATAAGTGTATGTCAAAACTAAATAGTACACTGCACTATGCAACAGGTTGCTGGAATGAAACTTGAATTTTACAAACACAATACATAAATACAGTGTTGAAGTAATACATTTATGCAATAGGACTCACACGATAAATTTTATTTGATTCTTACTTAGGTTGGAGGAAAATATTGCTGGTGTTATAAAGGATGGCATTGCTGAAGGGGAGTATCCAGGCCCAGGGCCCTGCCACAGCCCTGTCTGGGGGTTTATGCCTGGCTGTCCCGGGCCCGTGTACACTAAATTCTGGGCTGGATATCCATAAGGAGGATATGGGTAGTTTCCATGATGCGTTGGGCCATAAGGCTGCTGTCTTGACTCTTCGTAACTTGGAGGGGGGTCTGACTTTGACATTGTTATCCCTGAAACACAAGACAATAATGATGCCTAGAATAACATCGAAATGTTCAGTGCAGTCCAAGAATTAACGTTATAATAGAGTTAGCAAGCATACATAAATAATACAGTAGCCTATTTTTTTCATTAAATGTTTCCTATTCAAAAGTTATCTGTTCTTAACTGTTTTGGCAGGGTGACATTAGTATAGTCGTAATAAGTGTAAATAAATGTAGTAATATTTGGCTTACCACGTTAGCTGTCACCTCAGCAACGGGACTGCAGAGAGAGAGAGAGAAGTCGTTCGGCTCTACGCAAATAACGCAGCGGGTGATGTTGTGAAGAGCGCGAGGTGCACAATGGACCGTTCTGATTGGCTGGAACTAAGCAACGCAACTCGGAGGAGTTGTTGCGCCGTCTCCAGTTTCCAGGGCACCTCGGCTCGCTGGACTGTGCTCAGTATCTATTTACCGAATTAGTCTTGTCATCATCTTACCAAAATACCTTATTGTGTGACCACTGTTTAGATTAAAATAACAACAACGACGACAAAAACTGGTTATAACAGTTGTTTGTGTGTTAATGCTTTAATGACAAATAATTATCAGGAGCATTTATGCTGATGTGTATGATGGCGACACGTAGACTTACTTGAAAGTATTTGGATTAAAAACCTGTTTTTTTTTTCGCCTTATCTTAAAGAAGTTCTTTTTTTTTATTTTTTTTTTTATTTTCTTTTGATTATCTTCACATCACCACATTGCATTATTAAACCTTTTCGTACAAGTTCAGAAGGACTTGTCTACTGTAATGATCATCAATGTTCTTGTAGTAAAACCTATCTAACAACAGACGGCGCTAAAACTGTTCATTTGGACTCTCATGTGAATGATTTAGGCTATTTATTAAGCGTTCAATAATAGGCTCCTTAAAAAAAAAAAAAAAAAAAAAAAAAAAAAAATCCCATCCAAGTTTGAAAATGACTTACATTGTCAGACTGTCCACCATTCAGAATTTCAGACAGCAATAAAACATGGGAAAACAACAGAAAAATTTGTGTAATCCCTGAATGGCTCTAAATTATGTGGGCAAAAGTAAAATATAATAGATCTAGATCAGATTGAGATATACATTAGATTAGGAAATAAAATCCAATAGATTAGATTAGATACAATATGTCTTAATGCTTGTTTAAATCATAACATTTTCTTGATTGTAAATTAAAAAAGGAAGAAAAAAACAACAAAACATTTTCAGCATGCCATGGGGAAATTAATATTGTGAAGGGGAATTATTTTTTTATGTACAATAATGTAAATAATAATAATAATAATAATAATAATAATAATAATAATAATAATAATAATAATAATTATAATATGTAGGCCAAAAAATCACAAATGATATATTTTTTTATTTTTATAAATAATAATATTTAAAAAAAAATAAATTATGTAATTCAGATGTCTTGTTAATCTGAATATTTGTCCTTAATTATACAGAACAGTTAGGATTAGGATTACTTTTATTTTGAAAGCCTCTTTTATTTTGAATCTCTGGCACTTCAGGAACTGGAACTGTCGCGTTGTGTGATGTCTGTTGGTCATGTTGATTAACTTGGAATTGGATAGATAAAATATTTTTCTTGTATTTTTTTATTATTATTTTTTTTCCACGTTGATGCAATAATGTAAGGACATTTATGCAACAAAGTGTTTTTCTGAAGGAGCTTGTGTAACGTTAACTTACATCTTGCTCAGCCCTTACTCGAGTCTAAAGTCAACAATATTTTCTATAGCTTTTTGGTTTTGTCATATTTGTATATTTAAGAAGCAAGTAAGCATGCTGAAGGCTGTCATTCTTATCGGGGGTCCTCAAAAAGGTGATGTCTCTCACACTCGAACCATTGAATATTGTGTGAATGGAATAACTTGACAAATATAAAACACACATTCAAAGGACTCATACACAATTCACCTATTATGAGTGTATGTGTATGTCTAATAGCATAATCAGTGAATAGGTATATGTTTTATTGTGTCTAGTGTTTATGTCTATAATACATAGATGAATGACTCGTTCTATAATTGGAGGTGAAGTTACATTTCATAACAACAAAAAAGTACCACAACAAAATGCTTTCTCATCAGTGGAATATATCTGGTAGTTGGCAAGTTTTATCATTAAACATCATTTTGAAATGACAAAGGAAATGTTATTGTTTATTCATCAACTTTGTTAAAGGTAAACTGTATGGCTCTAATTACGTGCTGCTCTTCAATGTTACACGTATTTCCTCTTTTATCGATTATAAGTGATTGTTATGAAGAATTTTGAGAGTCATATTTTGATACAGCAGATACTGTCACTAGAGATGTTATGCAAAACTCCTAACATGTGTGAATATAAAATATACACTGAAAGAATGAAAGCAGAATTATTGTTATTTAAACACACACACACATGCGCACAAACTCTGTGTGATATTATGTTTTCCCTTACTGCATAAAATATGATTTTTGTGAAGAGAATTGTTAAAAAAAATAATAAATTATCATTGGACATGAAATGTAACCTAAAATAAATAAGTAATACACATAGAATGTATGATTTTGTGAATTATGTTTATTTTAAAGTATTTGTTTTAGTATTTTCCTGCTGTTCATACAGGGACCCGGTTTCGCCCTCTGTCGTTTGAGGTTCCCAAACCTCTTTTTCCAGTGGCTGGAGTGCCAATGCTGCAGCATCACATTGAGGCCTGTTCTAAGGTGTATATGCTCAGTTCATATAGCAATAAATAGATGGTTTATTGAGTCCTGTAATGCACTTGTTTAATATTTCATACATTGTTTGACCTTTTTTTTTTTTTCTAAAGCTTCCGAATATGAAGGAGATCTTACTCATTGGCTTTTATCAGCCCAATGAAGAACTTAACAGATTTTTGTCATGTGCCCAACAAGATTACAAAATATCAATAAGGTAAGTTACTTACCGTAATTATATTATGTTTGTATTGTTGGAAAATTAGAAAAGTTCCTTTAATCAAGTCTTTGATTTATATTGTCCTAAATCTTCCTCAGATACCTTCAGGAATATGCTGCTCTGGGCACTGGAGGAGGAATTTACCATTTCAGGGATCAGATCCTGTCTGGCGGTCCAGAGGCATTTTTTGTCATGAATGCTGACGTGTGTTCAGAGTTTCCTCTGCCAGAGATGCTTGACTTCCAGAAGGAGCACGGAGACGCTTACAGTTTCATAATCCTCGGCACCACTGTAAGTAGTTCTTGTGTCTTGTATTTTTGTATCAAACTATTTACGTTTTATAATGCAGACTTTTCCTGGGCACAAGCCACAATCAAACCGGATTCTCACTTGAGTATTAGGTTGTTTTTAACTTAAGGTTTGGGAATCGATCCATGATAGTTTGTTATGATTTAGTGGTTCTTGAAAATCAAATGAATAAACTTAAATCGGATTGTTTTAGGCCAACAGAAAACAGTCCCTGAACTACGGCTGCATGGTTGAGAATGAAAAATCTGATGAGGTAATTGAGTTTTCAGTGTGGGAGGATACATTTGATATGTTGGGGATTTCAAACATTTTACTACAGTTAAGATTCAAATGATAATGAATAAAACATGTTTACATGATAACAAATAAGATCATAATTGTCTCATCATATCCCCCAGGTCTTGCATTATGTAGAGAAGCCCAGCACATTTGTGAGTGACATAATCAACTGTGGAATATACCTGTTCACTCCAGAGATATTCCAGCACATCGGAGAAGTTTTCCAGAAGAACCAACAGGACATGCTGTTGTGAGTGGGATGAATCCTGTAGGGTTCTCGAGTGAAAGTGCATGTTTACTTAATCCATTTCTTTTCCTTGGTTCTCTTCATTTGTCTTTCCCCCTCCAACTCCCCCCTGTCTTCCATCATTCTGTTTCCTGTTCCATCATCAGATATTCATATGAGGGGTAAGTTTGAACTGTAGACTGATTAGGAGCAAGTGTGATGTAGGTTTTGTAGTGAGCACACAGTATTATTTGTGAACTAGATTCATGTTAGCATGTTGTGGTGTGATGATAACGACACACACGTTTTTTATTCCATCATGAATAGGCTGTTTTTCAGGTTTGATCTCTGAAATCCACTTAGAACTGAATCCAGCAGAACCGCTGCCTGATACAAAGTTTGTTTTAATATTCTTTCATCCAAATTTAAATTGCCTCGGATTAAACTACATTTTTTTTTTCTCTTCACTTAACCAACTTCCGGTGGATGGGAATAATAATATTAACCAATAAAATTATAGCCTATCAATATCCAGTCAAACCCTAATGGTTAAAATTAATTCCTAACCTACATTATTTGTTTTATCAGCAGCCATGGTTCCGGAACAATTTGTTTTAGTGTAAAGATATAGAGTAGACAATTTCAGCAATGTCAATTGCAAGCTAGCTTTGAAAGCATTAGATCCCACCCTCCCTTCAGAGCACTCACTCCAAAGCCTCTCATCCTTAAAAACTCATAAACACACAACCAGAGGTAAGTAAGCAAAGCGTCATGAGAGTCACATGATGTTGGCTGTAGGACAGTCAGGTAGGACATCCTATTATTGCATCCAAATGCAATGATCGGATGAATATTTTTTGGAATATGTAAAAAAAAGAAAGAAAAAAAAATAAAAAATATATATATATTTATTTAGACCACTTCTATTATTGATTGCCCTCAGAATGTGAAGAGCGTTTTAACCAGTATAACAAAAAGTGTTTATGAAAAATATTGCCTACAATAGCTTTAAAGCTTTGTAAGTTATGAACCATGAGGTTATGCAAACTTTGATTTAAAGCAATACAATAATTGAAAATCAGACAAAAACATAAAGGTACAAGACTGTGTACTTAATAGCTTTATTCCAAATGACATACAATTAAAAACAAAAATTTTCACTATATAGAAACAACTTATTTTAAGTTTATTGCAAAACATATACAGTATATACGTGTATATAAGGGGTGTAAAAATATTTTGTGTCACAGTATATCACAATACAAAAATCCAACAATATGCATTGTGCATGGTGGCAATCTGTATATTGTGAATATTTCACCCAAAATAAATAAAAAAATGACTGTGTAAGAAAAAAAAAAGTGATTTATACTTCTGGAACCAGACTGTTGCACTCTACTACTTTCCTCATAAATGTGACATGTTTTCATGTTGGTTTTAACACCCTGCATGTGCACTATTTACCTTTAATTTTCATTAATCAATTCATTTATTTATTCATTTGTACCTGTTTAAATGATCCTTCTTAATTATGACTGTCCATCATAGTGTCATTTTATGTCATCCTCTGTCCTGGATATTAAAAAAAAAGTTTCCTGACATCACCAGAGGTTGAAATGAAGTATTTTATTTACTACTATACATTGTGTGCTGTTCTCAGAGAAGAGCAGTCCAACGGCTGGCATCGGGCAGAGGTGATCCGTCTGGAGCAGGACATCTTCACTGCACTGGCAGGACAGGGCAAGCTATATGTGTACAAAACAGACCGCTTCTGGAGCCAGATCAAATCTGCAGGGTTAGTTCTTGACATATGCTGTATCATTAGACTTATGCACTGATTATCTTCTCTGTAACCACGTTTTGATAATGTTTGTATTATTATAGTTAATGCTATGCCATTGCCCTCCCCTCTGTCAGATCTGCAATCTATGCAAGCCGGTTGTATCTTAACCAGTATCACAAGACCCATCCAGAGAGGTTAGCTACCAATACAGATAGAGGGCCGAAGACCAGAGGTAAATGCTTCGTGGAAATATGACATTTTTATGTTAGTAAAAGCTCTTCATGCGGTCCTTCTAATGTATTTTTTTATTTTTTTTTAGGGAATGTTTATATACATCCAACTGCCAACATTGATCCAACTGCTGTAGTAAGTGTTCTCTTATGAGAGTACTCTTGTGTTGTGTAAGCTAGCTCGAGAATACTGAAGTAAAAAATTATCCTTATAATTTTTATTCATTTAAAACGCATTTGCAGCAGCGAGCAGACCTAGGCAAGTCAGCTCACACACCTATTGACTGCTCTGCGGCAACTGCTGCAATCTGTCGAGGGACTGCTCGTGACGTTAAGCACCACTTATATTTTAGAAGGCATGACAGACACGGGCCCTGGTTTCTGCATCTCTGCTTTATAATAGCATGCACTAAGGAATCACACACAGTTAGACCCAGGTCATTATTACTAAACCATATAGGGTCTATTTTTGGAGACGAAGGGGGAAACTAGTTCGTCTTTATTCTTGCAATTTTACTTAGTGATGTAAGTGAAACAGAGATTGTTGTGTGCAAAATATTTTTGGACAGTTGACTAAATAACCTGTAATTTATATAATATTGGTGTTTCTTTTCCCTTCAGTTAGGTCCGAACGTGTCCATAGGAACAGGAGTAACCATCGGTGCAGGAGTTCGTGTGAGGGAGTCCATCATCCTCCATGGTGCTACTTTACAGGTACATTCATGCCACTTTCTCTCCGTGTTGCTTTGTCTGGCAATCGAAACCAATGACTCATAGAAACACAATATACAGTATAATGAATGTCTTCTGTAGGATCACAGCTGTGTGTTGAACAGTATTGTTGGCTGGGGCAGCACTATTGGCAAATGGGCCAGAGTAGAAGGGACCCCTAGTGATCCGAATACTAATGACCCGTATGCCAAAATTGACAGCGAGACACTTTTCAGAGATGGAAAATTAACACCCTCCATTACAATTCTAGGTAATTTTATAGGACACCATCATGAATAGATAATGTTTTTTTGCAAGTGATTTATCTAAACACATACTTCTCCCTCTGCCTCATCAGGCTGCAATGTAAATATCCCATCTGAGGTCATCATCCTCAACTCCATCGTCCTGCCACATAAAGACCTCAACAGAAGCTTCAAAAACCAGATCATTCTGTAGTTTAAATTTATGGCATTTGCGTACAAATCTACACAAAACAGATCTTTGAAATGAATCCTTAATAATGGATGAATCATCTGAAGATTCAGTAGTTTTCATGGAAAAATGTCTGGTGCTGAATTGTGCACATGTCATTGCTACAGAAAATTGCTGTCAATATGTTTCTGAAAAGACTTGTATTTTATTTGCAGCTTGTTGGCTCCCTTGTGTCAATGAAATGCCAAAGAAAGGTGCAAAAAGGCAGTTTATTTGTGCACTCTGTTACCATTTTGTTCTGGTATTTAACGCGTCATGTAAAAAAAATAAAAATATGGTAAGAGTAGACAAATGGTAAAATCTTGTAATTGGATACAAGTCGTGTTAGTAATTGTTTTGAATAATTTATGTTTTTGTGACTGCTCTCTGTATGAAAGCACGAGCACAGTGCAAGAGTTAGACATCTGCAATAAATTACATTTTGATTAAGTCGCATAAGGTAACACATTAATTTACTGCTACCCTAGTAGAAAATCACAATGTCTGTATTTATGGTTAAAGAGCTACAAGACCATCAATTATTTTTTCTTAACCTTGAAAGGCCAAGACAAATTATTCCATTACAGACATTACATTAATAATAATAGAAATAAAATGCCCAAAACATTTGTAAAATCTCCCAGAACTTTTATATTCATTCTTACTGGCTGACCTCTGAGGGCACTAATGCAGACATTGATATCCATATGTGACTTATACAAAATACACAAGACATGAATTCATATAGTTTATTTCAAATCAATATGTCACCGTGTGTTTATACCACCTTTAGATATTTTCAAGGACATTATTTTTATACATGATTATTAGAAAAAACATTTAAATCCTTTACAAAAACAATAGATAGAGTGTACTCTCATGTTTCAAGATTCTTTCTTTCTGGACAGACTTAAATTAATAAGAAAAGTTATTTTTCCAAGATAGTATATAAAGTGATAAAAAAAGAGTTTAATTTCATGTGGTAGAAAAAAAAACAGTTCAAGCCACCGAAGCAAAGTGTCCCAGTCCGACTCTCCGGCACACATTTATACACACACATAAATCATTTGGGGGATGTGAAGAATTTCCTTTTTCCTGGTTCATTTTTTGGTTTGCTTCTAGAAAAGAGAGAATGGAAAGCATGCAATACTACGCTCAAGACCAATAAAAATTAGAGTTGCATGAGGATTAGTAGCTTACGGGTTATTGAAAGTGCCGCCAAAGTGCTTGATCCGACCCTTGATTGAGCCACCGGATGTTGTTTTAGAATAATTACTCATCTCAGGAGAGGTCAGAGGTTTGAATATCTTATCTGAAAGACACATTCAGGAACAAAGTAAATGATTAAAGTTAAAATGTACAAACGGCATCCTAAAAAATAGAATCAGATAAGATCACGAGAACAACTTTAATGGTATGAAATTTGCAATAAGTGATCAGTTTAACTTTAACCGACTGACTTTTAACTCAACACATGGTGGATATTAATGCATGTACCTCTGCTAGTGCTTGGACCGACATTGGTGATGTTGGAATCAACCACAGGAGGGACAAGTGGATCCTTCTCAGCTAGCAGGCCTTCCCAGAAATCTGAAGGAAAAGACAGTAACCGAGCCACTACCTGTTGCCAAGAAGTTAGAAAAGGTTTATTTCTTGAAAAATACGCAAATGATCACATCGTGATTTTCTAGCAACTCACTTTGGGTTGTGTGTTTGTGTCTCTCATAATGGTCATGGGAGAAGGTTCTAGCATCCCGTGACCAATGATAGTGGGGCCAAACACTCTGGACAAGTTATTCTGATCCATCTGACACAACGGACTATGCATTACCCTGAGAAGCAACATGAATGCAGTTGCAAAACAAGTATACGAAGGCATAGTTGCAGAAATATCTAAATTAGAGCATTTTACCTCTGCAAGTGCAGTATTAGGAAGGCCAGGGTGTCTCTGTTTGGCTTCGGCAGCTCTTTGATAATCTTTATTAATGTTTCTACACTCTTGTCTTCATCAGCCATCTCTGCGAGTGAAAAAAAAAATGACTGTTTTGTCGAGCCAGCCACAGTATCGGATTGAATTAGGCGCCATTACAAGAGCAATGTATCTGATATTATTGATGAATTAAATCACTTTATCAACTTTTCTGACTTTAAGGATATCAGTTTTCACTAAGCAGGAACAAACACCTGTAGCAGCGATGCATTATGAAGGACTTTCTCTCATTTACATGCTACAACCATTCCTAGCCAAGGAAATTAGACAATGTGACTCTCCCCATGAAATCCAATCCAATTTATAATTTAAAAGGGAGGTACTTTACCCTGGAGTCATCCTGAATCTATGAGGGCTAGGGGGGAAAAAAACTCTATAATAATAGCAGAAGCACCCTGGCTGCTCCTAAATCTGCCACTTACCCTTCATTCAGCAGCGGCGACTGAAATTAAAACGCTGAAAATGACAAGCGCTGGTTTGGGAGATAACGTTCAACATTGATTGTTTCGGAGTCATCAGGGACTTGTTAACTATATCACAAGTAATGGGAAATAACCATCTGCCCTAAATGAATGAGGGTAGCATACGTTCTCATGCCTCAGGCATACACAAGCGCCAGACGCTTGTTATAGAATCCACCCTCTGCAAAATGGCAACCATTTTGGATAATATAATCAGACTGCTAAAAGAATACAAAATTTTCAAAGTCATATTGAGACTATTAATGTCAGGACAAGATGGGTCTCCTCGCAGTATTCCTGTTTTTTACTGCATGTTCGTAATCAAATAAATGCAGCCTTGATGAGCCGAGACTTTTCAAAAAAAAAAATCAAAACAAATCTTACCGATCCCAAACTTTTGAACAGTAGTGCATATTTAAATTGAAAATTAAATCCTTCTTGAAAATATCATTATTAAGAAAACCTACCAGAAGCTTCCATAAATGTTTTGTGAAGCTTAAATGTTATTAGAGGCTCCTTGAGTTTCCTCAGGAAGTCTTTGAGGAGTCCACAGACAGCATGAACCTCTTCTACTTTGTGGAGCATCATCAGGCCTTTGCCAGACATGTATTTCTCCCTCAGTTCCTTCACCAGTCGCTCTCCTCCCGGCACTCTGTAAATACCCCTCTACATACCGCAGTCAGACAGAAAAGATCAGTGAGATAGAGAGAAATTGCATACATCAACTGTATACACTGTAACTGGATGTTGTAATGTACTGCAACATGATTTGAAAAGATTTGTTTCTTAAATCCAAATTAGATTCAATCATACAGTGCTATGATTCAAGCCCTGTAATTATACTTTCAGCTTGAGAAACTATCCCCGTGTTGGTGTATTTAAACACCTCTTCAAGTCCTCTTCTCTCAATTTCATGAACACACTGAACAATCAAAGAGGGAATCTGTGGATGTGTGGTAGGGGCAAAGCTCTCTAATGTTGCCTATAAAGGAGGGGGAAAAAGAAAATTTGAACATGTCATCTTTACATATGGATATGCATGTATTTACACTACTACAGTATGGAAGGTGAATACCTCATTGGGCTGAGCTGAACCATGAGCAATAGGGCTGCACTTCTCCAGACATAGTTGTTTACACTCAGGATGGCTCACCACTCGACAGTCTCTGCATTTTACGGCCATCTTCCCAAAGCGAATTCTCTTCCCACATGGTATGCATGTCTCTGGACGAATCACCTAGAAAATATAAAATGCTGACTAAGCGGTCAGTCGCAACATGCACAGTGCCATCAAACCCTGTTCACACCTGCCATTTCTTCTTTCATTACTTTTTTTATTATATTTATTATTATATTATATTATTATAGTCCCCTGTTCCTTACAATTTAAGGCTGTATTACTCTGACAGTTTAATAATAATAATTAAAAACAAAAACAACACAATAAGATGTGCAGTACAGCATGTTAAGGTCAGACTGGTGTAATCATAGGCCTTGTTATTTTTGTTTTACTTCAGCCATTTAATTTTAAACAATAGTGAACTAGAAAGAGGACATTTGGCAGACTTTCCTTATTGTACTTATATATATATATATATATATATATATATAAATACTTTGATAAATGACTCAAGAAACAGATGTAAAAACCAGGAGTAAAAGCCTTGCAACATGTACTACTGAATGTCCTCTTACTGTTTTTTGCTGGAATACATGCAGGGAAGTCTTATCCACGGTGGGCGTGAAGTGCTGAGGGACGGCCGGCTCAGGGGCGATCACCTCCATTTCAACAAGCGTTTCAGCCTCTGTGACTTCACTAGGTGCCCACACAGACGTTTGTTCTACATGAACGACTCTGGTTAGTTTGGGAAGGTTAGAATGCGTCAATGAAAGTGGCGCCTCCGAGGCTTATTTACCGTCAACAGACGGGAAATCTTCATTTCTGATCGCCCTGGATGGATGTTCTGGAGTCTCCTGGGTTATGTCTATTACCATGTGAATCTGACCTCCAGTCTCTGGGGTAGAGACAGATGCCTTCACAACCGTCGTCTCGATTTCCTTAGCACATACACAGACAAAAACACAACAAATCCATTTGAAGCCAATCATTCTTTCTGCTGGAATGCAAGACCCTTAGAGTAGCATAACAATTGGTCATCAAGCTCGTGTCCACGTTCCTGGCAACAAGGATAAACGTAGTTTCTCAGAGTGCCAAATTGCTTTGCTTCTCTCTTAGTGATCAGTGCCAGCTGAGTGGGAGTGATATGAATCCCATGGAGGGAGACAGACAGGACATGGTCCACTGCTGTTCTCACCCGTGCAGTGTAGTGGTGGGTGTGGCCAATATGATGGCAAGCAGTCGGATGAGGACTGATGAACGAACGAGCTTATGAGAAACGACACCAGACTAACCTATAGGCAGCAGCCATATCACCCTGTAGCCCAAAATTAGTTGCCCACTGAAGCCAAGTAGGGCTGAGCCTGGTTAGTACCTGGATGGGAGACATCCTGGGAAAACCTGATTGCTGCTGGAAGAGGTGTTAGTGAGGCCAGCAGGGGGTGCTCACCCTGTGGTCTGTGTGGGTCCTAAAGCCCCAGTAAAGTGATGATGACACCATATTGTCAAAAAGCACTGTCCTTCGGATGAGACATTAAACCGAGGTTTAATGTCCTGATAATGGGTAATTTTCTGTTTCTCATAATTTGGCCTTTTGCTTGCATTGCAATTTTTTTCTTATTCTAAATGCGACCAACATTTGATGTGTTTGGGGAATTTGGCTAACATTTAACCTTTTAAATACATTCATTTTGATGAACGAGATTCAAAGATCCAAGTCAGTAAAATGAGTCGAACTTCCAACTAATAATTAAATGGCAATTTAGGATTACTGAAGAATTTAACTTTCAGGATGACTCAAAGTGCCTTATCTCAAAAGTTACAAACGATGCGTAGCGGCATCAAATACTCAACATGCAGATCATTTCTGCTTAAAGTTTCACTTTTC